CCGCGCACGTGCACACGGACATAGGCACGCACGCACCCATCCATGTAAATAATACGTACATAAACGGGATTTAAACGTGGATCGAGAAGCAATTAATAACGAAATATATAAAACTACAATAGATCAGCAAATGCATAAGTGTTAAAAAAAATATGAGAGAATATCATTGTACTTTGATGAATTCGACAATAATATACTTTTTTTCGTCTTAATTCAATTAATAATATAATAAAACTATCGATTATCGGTCAAAAATTTTCCACTTTTGCCATTTAAAAGATGATTCGACAGTTTATAAAGTAATGATTAAGCAATTAACTTCGTCCTTCCTTCACAATATCATTCCTATACCATTTATTAAAAACTTGATAAAATTAAATTATAATATACAAACTTAAGAGAATCTAGCTTGTTAAATAATAATTTTTGTATTTATACTTAATATAAATAAATATTCTTTATTTTTTTTTTTGTAGTAGCTTGATGCATATAAAACGTCGGAATATCGTAATTAAGGGTGATCATCAATATTTATATGCAAATAATATATTAATAGAATGTCAAATTAATATCGCGAGAAAAATTTACGAGCAAGGTCATTCGCTACAATCACTCTTGTAAGATTTCAGAAGCTTTAAACGACAGAATAGCAATTACGCTAACCCTTTCTTCGTTGATTGTAGTAAAAGTTATCCTTAATTACTTTAATCGATATTACTAATCTTTGTACAAAGGAGTAATATTCATTAATTTCTTGAAAACTCGTTTAATATAAAAGAAAAAAAGACTAAATATACGAACAATTAAATAAAGCGAAGATCATCGACAATAATGAACTTCCATATAACAATTTAATTTTTTAAACAAGATAATCGTGTAAACATTTCCGTTTTATTTATCAGCGACGAATTGGTTGTTGTTTTTTTTTTTTTTTTTTGCACAAAATCAATTGAAAAAAATAACAAAGAAAAATTTGTAAATTCAAATTAATATATAATGGCCTAATTTATGTTTTTATACGATTATTTATTAACACATACGACACATTCTATATAACCAAGAAAAACCAAACGATTAGATAAAAATGCAAAGAATAATGCTTTTAATCCACATCCTTCTTCTTATTATTATTTGCCCATCAAATATTCATCTAAATAAATAAATATCATTTAAAAACTGACATAAAAATCTTTGGGGCATATATTAATAAAATGATTTTTACGGTTTTTACGTTTTTTTTTTTTTTTTTTTTTTTTTTAAAAGAAAAATTAAAATTAAAATGTGTTAGGTATTTTATTAAAAATATTTGTTTAATATTTAAGTTGCCTTAAAACGAACAAATTTCTAGTTTTACTCTGATCATTTTGGTATTTATAGACTCACAATAATATTTCACTAAAGAAACTCGTACTAAATAAAATTTACTTTATTTGTTTATTTGTTTCTAATCCGCGACAAACCATTAATATACCATCAATACATATAAGTCCTAGATCAATTATTTTAACACTATAAATACTAATTTAATTATTTTCATTATTAATTTAAATAAAATTATTTTTGTTCCATAAGGAAATGAATAGTTACATATAAAAGTTTATTCGATATACGATTACATATTTCACGGGTTAACAATATTTACTGTGTAGATAAATAAGCACACACATTAATTATAAACATCGTGTTATATTTAATTCGAATTCGACACATTTATAATTATGACAAAAGATTAGTCAAACGATTAATTACTACAAAGCATCTTATTGTTACTTATAATTACTTATAATAACTACGAACATCATACAAAACATCCGAAGAATATGAAAATTTGCTTCTTTTCTGTTCGTGGCAACAGATTCTCAGATTTAAAATTATTTACTTGCATAATTGTTCAGTTGGTCATTCGATATGATAACATATATATCACGTAGTGCAATTTACAATTTAAAATTCACTTTGGATTACGTTTTTAAAGTTTTAATTGAAAAAATCACAATTAAGAATTATAAAAAAAAAATCTATCAAACTTACGTTAAATTACATGAAAATATACTAGTGTTTCAAAATTTCATACTTACAGTTCGAATAATTGTGAAAGTTCATATTTTTTTCTATTTTATGCATTGAGATATAAAATATACTTTATATGTGTTTTTAATTATTTACTTTATAAAAATTAATTATCAAAACATTCCTTTCATAATTATTCCTTAATTTATTAAGCTTACCTTAAATTTTATAATTGCGAAAGTCATATTAATTAATGCTCGATACTAAAAATATCGATAATGAGAAAGAAAAATACACTTTTACTATAAATTTCATTTATAGATCTCTAATAATTATATAACTTTTAATCATTGTAAAAGTACATTTAATATTAAATTTTTTAATTTTATGCTGTAAATAAAATTACTATTAACAAAAATTAATAAAAATCTTCTATTATTTGACATACTGTATAATGTGAGAAAACCAATTTTATTAATGGAAATAAAATTTTTAACTTTACGGGCTTTCGAATGAATTTAGCAATAGAATAATATAATGGAGTGTAGTCAGAAAGTAAGACTATTGAAAATAAAATAATTTAAAGTTTCAGAAATCTTTTTCAATACAAATCATGTTAAGTGATTTGTTTGTAGAGGGAAAATATAAAACGACTGTATTTATCACCATTTTACCATGTTAAAATGAAAAAGAATGATCAATAGTTATTATATAAAATGTACTGTTAAATTGAAAATATTGCTCTCTTATTATAATCATTTATTTATAATATTTTCTTTCAATATATATATATATATATATATATATATATATATATATACAATCACCATTTGAATAAATTTAAAATTATTGTATATAAATTGTAAAGTAAAATTTTATTACAATAACAATAATAATTAATAGTTATTTTTCTATTATTGTATTATTTTATTAATACATATAGACATAAATTTAAGTGCTATCTAAATTTATAATAAAAATTTTTAATACATAATACACATATAAAAGCATTCAAATGAGATTTCACGTTCACGTTTTATTTCAACTTATTTGAATAAATATTCATGAAATATTCATTTAACAGGACTATTCCAAAGACAGAAGTTCAATAAATAAATAAATCATAATTTAGCATTAATTATTCGTGAGAAGACATTTTTTTTATAATAAAGCAATAAATAGCGGACAGAAACATTATCATTCGATAGATGCAAACAAAATAAATAATTTTAACTCAACTCCATATACTTCTTCTCCTTAAATATGATCCTGCTAATGCGTAAATTTCTATCCGATGATTCACAATCTATAACATCGGTTCAGCTAATCATTTTACTTATTATTAATTTTATTTCGAAAAAATTCAAATGCATCTAAGACTGCGATTTGTTAAATAATTTCACATCCTCGACAAGAATTACAACATAGACTTTAACGCTACAATTTTACATCTTACATATAATAAGTATACTACTTAAGTAGAGCTTAAAATATACAAAATCATCACGTGGCGAGAATGATAACAATTACCTGAATTTACGAATAAAAGTTGCCGACAACGTATAAACCCTTCATTCCACGTCACTTCTCACCTGCGTTTCGAATCTTTCTGCACTTTGCAAATTCGCCAACTACACAGTCATTCCGCGAGTTTCAGTCCCGCGACACACAGATCCTTAGCTTCTCGATCTACCAATCCGCTATTACGATGGCTCACCTTCCATACCTCCACCCTCGTCTGTCCGTAGCACCCACTCCAAGGAGCCCTCCTTTGCTCCTCGTCACTCACCCATCGTCGCGTTTTTCTTGCCTCCTACACTCGACCCTCGTCATCTCAATACCTTCTAAACTACATTTGCAGCTGCATCTGTCCGTAATAACAACGCGACTCTACCTCTTTACTCAAACTACTCTCTCTCTCTCTCTCTCTCTCTCTCTCTCTCTCTCTCTCTCTCTCTAATTTCTGACAAAATCTAGAACGCTCGTGTGCAGTTAGTTACTTTATATTGCTCGCGTTTCTAAACATTAGCATCATTAAGCTCATGCTCTCTCAAAATAGAAACAATTAGGGCTCTCGTATTATTCAGGCACGCGTGCGCCAATTTCTCTGAGAGTCGAAAAAGTCGAAAATTTAACGGCTTTGATGGTTGTTGCATATCGACGCGAGTCTTTACTTTCCCTCAAGATCGGTAGGGACATCGCGCTTCCTTGGAAAACCTCGATCAGCGTATCCTGGATCTGGCTTTAGAGGCTGCCGCGTGGGAAACGAGCGGAACGCCGTCCGTGGCTTTGAATCGGACTGGGTGAGACGTGGGTGGCGGCCGATAATGCAGGTACCCCGAGGGTTCCAGGTGTCGCTGGTCCTCGCGCATCCCCTGTGCGCATGCACCACGGGTAGGAATAACGGTGGTGACGACGGTGGCGGCGCCCCGGTGGCCCCGAGCGACCGAGGAAGGAGCGCGCGAGGAAGCCGTGACCGCGAGCGCGGTGCAGTGCGCGTTTTGGGGGCGGCGAGGGCAGCTGGCTGTCTCTCTCTCGTCTCGTCCGTGTGCGCGCGGAAGGAAGCAGCCCCTTGGCGAGGGCCGCCGCCGCCACCGCCACCGCCACCGCCACCGCCACCGCCACCGCCACCGCCATCGCCGCCGCCGCCACCGCTACCGCCACCGCCACCACCACCTCCACCTCCATCGTCACCAACTTCGCCACTAGCATTTCGACAGGGACGACGACGACGACGACGACGACGACGACTACGACGACGACGACGACGACGACGGCGACAACAACGACACCGACGACGACGACGACGACGACGGCGACAACAACGACACCGACGACGACGACGACGACGACGGCGACAACAACGACACCGACGACGACGACGACGACGACGGCGACAACAACGACACCGACGACGACGACGACACCGACGACGAAGACGACGACGACGACGACGACGACGACAACGACAACGACGTCGACGACGACGACGACGACACCGACGATAACGACGACATCCACGACACCGACGACAACATCAACCACGAAAATAAAAGCCAAGACAGAGTGGACAACAACGACGGCCAAAACGACATCCAACACGATAACGACGACGAAGCGAGGGCGGCCCCGCGGATCGCCATCCCCGGGAGAAGACGCTGCTAAAGGCCTCGTGGCAGGTATGTTCTCATCGCTCGATCGATATCCTAATATAATCCTTAAATTCAGTATCGAGCGTCCAATGGGGCGAGTGACCCTCTTATACGAGAGGCGCATGCCGGCGATGCTCTTACGCTCCGGTCGCTCCCGGTCGGCTGGGGTCAGCTTCGAGCCAGTAGCAATGGCAGTTAATTTTATCGTGGACCGGTGCACGTACGTCCAAGTCCGCGCTACTCTCAAGTTCAATTTACACTCCTTTTAGCCCCCATCGCTTACGATAATTAGGGCGCTCTCGGGGATGTTTCGCTTCTGCTTCGTACGACTTGATCGCTTGAGTCCATTCGTAAAGAGCGCATACGGAAAAACATTCGAGCCCATTGCATCGACAATTTATTAGTCTAGTGTAACAATTTTGCTAATGAGTGTCAAGAGTGTCAACAGCATTGCGAAGTCACAAACAAATTAGCTCTTCGCTTAACTTAATCCTACCCCTAACCCTATTCCAAGCTCTTGGAATTTTAAAAAATACGAACGACATTTACCACGAGGTAATAACGCATTTATGCGAATACTTGGACTTGCACTGAAATACGAGACAGCCGCATAAAATAGCGAGATTACTCTGTTTATTACTTTCTTTTTTTTCTCTTTTTTTTCTTTCTTTTTCTTTCTTTTTCTTTCTTTTTCTTTCTTTTTTGCTCCTATAAAGTATGGCGTGTCGCTTTTGACAGAATCGAGCTTGCGCTTACAAAACTCCGAGACCCGTTGAGACTCGTGGAGAATATTATTTACGATGATCGACCATGTGAGAAGATCCAATTATTGACATACGCTAAAGTTGTAAAGTACAATCCTTCACATTATCTTACAACTATGGGCAAAATTAAAAGAATTCGAGGGACGCTGTATTTGTCAATATACTTTAAAAGTAAATCTATTACATATGCGTAATTTTATTATATATATATATATATATATTGAGATGTGACAAATAAAAAAGAGTTTCCATTCCTAGTTGATGAAAAAAAAAAAAAATATATATATATATATATATATATATATATATAAATTAGAATTAAAGGGAAAATAAAGAGAAACTAATACATGTTTTCTATTAATTTTTTTGTACTATAACAATAAAATATATATGGCAAAATTATAATTATCAAAATGATCAATACATTTTTTAAATAGATTTCTATTGCATAGTACTGCCTCAAACATATTAATAGCGACGATTCTAATTTAACCAATTATTTATATTAATAATACGCTACGAGGTAATTCAAAATAATAAGTAAGTTTTTTCACGATTTTCAAATGTAATCCAAAAATATTAGAAGCGTTGGCGAAACATTTACATATTTGTCAATAAACTAATCTAAGCCCCAATTACTTTACTCTACCAATTATTATGGTTCTCACAAAAATTAATAATGGATCAATAAGGAATAAAATTACTCTTTCTTAATCTTGAAACGCGCTATTTTTTTATAAGGTATCAAACAAGCAATTATTCTGAATTTCTGCATGCAATCAAAAATAATAATTTTTAAATTTCATTTCTATATACGTAGACGTAGACGTTAACTACATACTTAGACATTAAGTATTATACTATTATAAAGTGATTTTATTTTATAATGCATTCTGCCACTCATATATTGAAAATAATTTATCCAAATAATCGTGATTGCACTTTCACATATAAATTTAATAAAATTAGCAATTAAGTAAAACTAGCTACAATCTCAGATACGACAAACTTCTTTCAGTTAATATGATTGTTTTTAGCCGTAATAGTAATTACTAACTGCTAGAATGTTATATTTTATCTAACAAGTTTCTAATATAAATAAGCCTAATCACATTTTAATTCTTAACGTCAACAATTTTAACCCTGCATTGATTAAAAGACAAAATCAAATGCAAAAACAAATCTATTCGTCATAATTATGCATTAAACGTTAGTAAAATTTTACATTCGCGTGATACTGACAAACATATCAAAGAGTCAAAGAGGTAGTATAAAAATAAAATATTTACATTAATCATTATATTATAATAACCGGAGGATAATAACATTTAATTTAAATGTTTGATACATATTAAAAATAATGTATTAAAAAAGGAAGAAAAAAGCTCTTGCTTATTAAATATTAATTTAATAATAAATTATAAAATATTGATAATAGTGTCAGCTAAGTTATAAATAGTAAAAGAAAATATTGCGCACCCCGTCCGTTAATACAATTTCGAATTACTTTATTTTTAATCTTTACTCTTTGTCGTTTATTTATTTATTCAAAGCCGTTAAAAAAAATCTTATTAATCAACTTAATATTATGTGTCTTATGTATAACTTATGATTTTAGCAATGATGGTTATATTGAATTATAATAAAATAATTATGATAATAATTGTACAATAATAATTATGCTTGCGAGCAACTAGATTTTAATTGAGAGTTAAATTTACACTTCGTTAATATAATTTTACGTATATTGTACTATAAATATCATAATGTTCTTAATAATATATAAAATATATAAAACCTCACACGTTTCGTATCTCATCATAAGTTTTATTAATTTTTTAATATAGAGTTGATCCTAATTCTTACACTCGTACAATTTATAATTTATTTATTAATACATTATTCATACGATTCTACGTTTCCATTTATCTGCATAAATGAATTTTCTCTAATGCAATTGCTTTGTTGACGCAAATTCTTGCCATCATAAAGTAGAACATAAAGTATTTTTTAAACTCAATTAAGTTTATATAGCATATTATGTATATTATAGACATACAAATATTTTGTTCGGTGAAGTAGAAGGAATTGTTTGTTCAAGAGGAAACTACATATACATACATACATACACACATACGTACACACATACGTACACACACACACACACACACACACACACACACACATATATATATTTTTGTTTGTTAAATTATTGGTTAAATCATATGAAAATTATCATATATACATCAGTTATATTGGATAGATAAATATAAATTAATTTAATGCCAAACTATTCTAAAGATTTCCAACAAAATAACTTCACATAATTATTCTCAATTAGGAAAATATTTATATCTATATAAATGTAATAACAAATTAACTTGATATTAATGAGGAAGATTGCAAATTTAAAATCATTTCAATTTTATCATTCGATTCCTCTCCATTGAAATGGGGTTTGCAATTTTTTCTAGCAGAAATTTTGTATTGTTATACAGAGTTCAAATATAATTATCTTGTATTACATTTAATTGAAAGTAAATATTGCAATAAAATTAATTAAAAGTTTTCATAGAACAATTTACTATTAAATTATTATAAATAATAAATAGATTTGCATTATTTTTGTTAGCGACGAATATTCCAAATACGTTACTGCGCTGAAAAATATGAATTTTTTTTTTTTTTGTACTATTGCAATCAATAATTTAATAGCATATACGTATTTTTCTATAGTATGAAATAACTCCATTGAAAATCATAAAACACACTTTCAATTTAATCTCCATAAGATTTCAATGCGTTATGAGTGAATAAGGGGATATATGTTAGGGTCTGGAATATATTGGGGGAAAAAATAATAAAGATAATTGAAAGAAATGATAAAAAGAATGACAATACATTCACATATCTGGCCTAATGGAGATAAGTTATTTCTAATTATCCAAATAGTAAATAAATATTTCAAAGAAAGGTAAAGATAGATTGCCTTTAATAATTTAAATTCGATAAACCATAACTACTACTTCAATAACCATAAATGATGAAGAGTTTTGAGTAAAATAATTTGCTTCTACGATCATATAAATATTCAATTCTACCACATGAAAGAAAAAAAGAATGAAAAATCCAATTTCATGAAAAGCTTTGTAACATTCGATAGCATTTTTACCTTAATATATAATAATCTTATATGCAATAATTATAAATTACATTTCCACAAATATCACGATAAATGGGATATGCATTACCTACTGATTAATTTAATTTAAAAATATGCTCATTGGGTTGTAAATATTGTGGTAAAGTACGAAATATTTTTTCACCCCTATGTAAAATAATGATATATTGAAAATGTTTCATAAAATAATTATAATTATAATACATTTTGAAAATGCAGAATTGATTTACCTTATTTAACAAATATAGATTATTTAAACAATATGTTATAAACTATTAATTTTTAATATCGAATGTATTATTATGTATTTAAAATAAATATTATTTTAACTATATTTAAAAATGAATAAATTTCCATTCAATCTGCTCGATCAATTTAATAAATATCATTGGTACTCGAGGTAATTCTATTCACTTTGATCTAGATATTTAAAAATATCACACCTTCTTTTTAATTAATAATAATAATCAAAATGTCAGTTTGAGATTATAAGTATAAATCGCAGATAATAATTTCATTAATCTTAAATAATTCGTTCACATATATTGAATCAATTTTGTTACAATCTCATGAATGTAATTAACATATCTTTAGATGTCAGGGTGAATAAAAGTTTTCATAAAAATATAAGTTTAAATTTTACTTACTTAAATATCTATAACATGAGAATTAGCATTAATACCTTATTGAAAATATTTATTTACGCTCTATTAACAAGTATTTCTCTATATTATTAGTTATTATAGTAACTAATAATATAAGTAAGTATACTAATAATAAGTATAATATTACGTATTATAGTATTACTCTATATAACAAGTGAATAAACTAATAATCCGTCGCAGTAATAAAATTATTTAAATCTATTTCAAATAAATACCGAGAGAGAGAGAGAGAGAGAGAGAGAGAGAGAGTGAGAGAGTGAGAGGGGGGGGGGGGAGAGGAAGGAAGAAAAAAAGAAAGAGAGGGAGGGTGGTAGAATGGAAGGGACAGTGGGAGGGACTACAAATTTTATGTTAAATGTACTAATTTTGTTTTGCGAATTGAATTTTTAATTATCATGCTCCCAGTGTTCCTTAATT